TGGATGGAGTGGATAGATAGATAGATAGATAGATAGATAGATAGATAGATAGATAGATAGATAGATAGATAGATAGATAGATAGATGATAGATAGATAGATAGATAGATAAGGGAAGGAATGAAAGAAAGAAAGAGAAAGAAGTAGAGAGAGAGGGAGCCTCATAGAACATCCCTGCTCTCCTCTCTGGGGATGAGGACTGAGAAGCCTTATATTGTCCGACTGTTCCACATGGTCAGGTGGTACCTGATTTGACCAGCTACAGGTGATTCCTATCTTTCTCTCTCCTGAGGCTGACGTTCCACAGATTTTTGGTGGAGCAGCATCTTCAGCATCCTGAGCATGACACTCTGCCTGATGGAATAAGTAATGAAGTGCTATCTGACGGCATCTTTGCGAAGGCTTTGTATAAAAATTGTCTCATTTGGGCTTAAATGCGTTTCTTGTGTTTCCTACTGCAGCTTCTTCATGATTTCCCCCACAGACCAGCAGGTTCACTGCTGGGCCTGGTTGAAGAAGCACATGCCTGAAAACAGCAACCTCTTCTTGGAAGATGTAACCTGGAAATACACAGGTGAGGGCAGCTGCCAGCTGTTGGGACTCCTCTGGGTCAAGGGAGGGTCCTTCTCCAAGGGAACCTCAGATTCTGCAGCCTGGTCTGCTGTTTTGTTTGCAGGGTTCGGACATGTCACACCTAAGCTAACTGTGAAGGGCCTGCCTCCCTTCTCCGTTCAACAAAGCAGAACTCTTGAAACAATGACCATTCCACAAGGAACCTTTTATTGAAGGAAAGTGATAGCAAGACAAAAGAAGCAGGATCTGAGGATTCCCTGCATTAGGTTAAAGCAGTTAGAGACCCCTCCCCTCAGACCGGTGTTGAATAAGCCAATCCACAGGTGCAAAGTTATTTTGAGAATCACATTACCATTCCACAAGGAACCTTTTGTTGAAGGAAAGTGATAGCAAGACAAAAGAAGCAGGATCTGAGGATTCCCTGCATTAGGTTAAAGCAGTTAGAAACCCCTCCCCTCAGCCTGGTGTTGAATAAGCCAATCCACAGCTGCAAAGTTGTTTTGAGAATCGCAGGCTGAGAAGGTGATAAGAAGTCCTCAGGCATCGCTTGCTGGAGGCTTCGGAGCAGAGACAAAACAGATGGCCCTCCCCTTCTTTCATTCCCAAAAAAGATAAATCAGAAGATAAATACAGGATAGAGAGGCACCAGGAAAAGGGCTATAAACTAAAGAATGCACCCAGGCCCTGTCCCCACCAGAATGGCAGCGTCCCGATGTGTTCCTGCCCACCTGGTTGGAATCTCGGAGCTCCAGCTCTCTGGGTTCCTGAAACTGAGCAAGTCAGCCATGCAGGAATGACTTGGTTTCCCCTGGGTCTTTTCACATTTAACATTGTTCAGAGCAAAAACCATAAATGTGGCAAATAGGTTTTAATCTTTGCCAGATACACAAGGCTTCTTGTGTCTCTTGGTTAGTGCGTCAGATCCAAGTTGGTGCCTTTATTTATTCCTCTGTTCGTTGTTTTTACAAATCGCTCAAGGGACCTTCCTCCTATTTGCCCCCCAACAACCACTCTGTGTGGTGTGTTGGGCTGAAAGAAAGTGACTGGCCCAAAATCACTTGCTGTCTTTTATGCCTAAGGCAGGACGATAGCACTTAGCAATAGCCCTTAGACTTATATACCGTTTCACTGTGCTTCCCAGCCCTCTCTAAGCGGTTCACAGAGTCAGCCTCTTGCCCCCAACAATCTGGGTCCTCATTTTACCCACCTCAGAAGGATGGAAGGCTGAGTCAACCTGGAGCCTGGTGGGATTTGAACTCCTGACTGATCAGAATTAGCCTGCAATACTGCATTCTAATAGGAAGGGAGGGAGGGAGGGAGGGAGGG